CACACTCCTCCCAGGTACAATCCGTTAGGCTTGCACCTGCGCTACCGGTTCTGCCCCTCGGCTCAAGCCGTCCTCGATGTAGGTCATCACCCCGGGATCCTAGCGTACCTCCTCCCTCTGACTCCGGCGCATCGTCGGCACCTGTCGAAGGCGTTCCACCTCCGTGTAGCAGCCAAAGTGGGGCAGCTCAGGGAGTAGTGGTACCCATCTCCGTCTTGATCTCCTGGATCAACGCGTCTACCGAGTCTCCAAGAACCATTCCCTCTATCATCTCCATCAGCTCGGACTCGGCTGTCGACAGCGTAGGGAAGCTCTGCCTCGAAGATCTCCACGCCAGCATTGATCCCTGCCATTTGACCATTACACAGCCATGGCTAATCTCGCCGCCCGGCGCGAAGCTCGCATCCGTGATCACCTCCAAGCCCGCTCCTCTACTCTTTCTTCCATCTGTGTCCTCCCCCATGTCCTTGTCCAGCAGGATGCCCTCCGTCTTGGTCGCGTTGAGATACCGCAGTGTTTGGGTCGCGGTTCTCTGCACCCATCGTGGAGCCTTGGACACGAAGCTCGACATTCTCGACACCACGTAGGCCAGGTCAGGTCTGCTCCGGGTGACCAGCCAAATCAACTCGCCCACCAGTCGCTGACCCGTCTGAATCTCCTCCGCCGTGATCCCGATCTCTGCCTCTGGCTCGCTGCACTCCTTGCTCATGGGGATCACCGACTTGCCAGTGACATTGTTCCGATCAATGATCTCCTTGATGTAGTCCATCTGGTCCAATTTGATCCCCTGCTCCGTCACAGAGATGTTCACCCCGCTCTCTTCCGATGACTCCCACGTGCCCTTGATCTTCTCCATGAGGGCTTGAGGCACTCCTTCCACGCCCAACGGCAGGAAGTCGTCCACGTAGACTAGCAGTAGGCCGACCAGCTCCTCCGGATTCAAGTCGTCCTCCACCTTCTTCACCAGCCACAGATTCCGTTCGCTCCTCATCTGCTCCAACTTCAACCAACGCTTGCCATAGCTGATTCTCCACCTCCTCATCTCGTCGTCCCGGTAGTCCGACCAGCACCTCGGACTCTGCCGTAGGCCGTACATTGCCTTGTTGACGATCCACAGCTCCCCTTTGGGTATCAACCCCATCCGGACCAGTACTGCCGGCGGTCGCATGGCCACCGTCAGCTCTCCCTCCTGGTCAACTGCCTGCAGCGGGGCATTCAGGAAGGCTCCTTTCACGTCCACTGTGCCTCCTTGCCACCCGCGAACCGCCGCCTCCTTCAACGCCAACCGCAAAGCCACCACGTCCGTGCCCCCCGCGAAGAGCGACTCCCCGTAGTTGCCGCACACCACCAGTCGGCACTTACGCTTCCTTCCTGGTTTGATTGTGAACACCCCCTTCCCGGGTAGTACTTGCACCCGTGGGTTGTTCTCCAGCAGCTCCCTCGCCGATGCCGGGTTGAGCCTGGTGATTGCTTCCACGATGGTGTCCAGCTCCTTCTTCATGGGTGCTTTCCAATCCTCCAGGTTCATCTCCACCTCCTTGGCACTGACAATCTTGGTCTGGAGTATCTGCTCCTCGTCTTTTTCCACCTCTGTGCTGCTCCTCAACTCCTCTTCTTCCTTCTTCAAACCTTCTAGGGCTTTCACCATAATGTCCATCACCTCCGGCTCGTCGTTCGTCACCGCCTTCTCTTCCTCCTCTATTGTGGCTCTGAGCGCCCGCAGCCTCACCAGAACCCCTTCGTCTTCCAACACCTTCTTCTGGGTCTTATCTCTTATCCTCCTCCGGACACGATAGGGTTCCTCCGGCTCGCGCTCTTCCCCCTCATCACCTCTCCTTTCCACGAATTGCCTCCCGTCCACCGGCTCCGGGAGAGGTTTCCACTTGTGCAGCACATAGGCAGCCACCTGGACTGTTCCATCCTCTCTCATCACGGCGTGACCGTTCGGTACGTCCACCACCGGGGCCAAATACCTCCCCTTGACGTGCCTTGGGCCCAGCTCCTCTGACTTCCACTTCCTTTTCTCTGCCTTGTTCTCTTATCCTTCTCCACCACATACCGAGCTGCAGCTGGCCACCACTGTCCATCCACCTCGGCTGCAAAGAGCACTCTCCTCATTCTTGACTTCAAGTGCTTGATGGCCACTTCTGCTCGCCCGTTTGATCTCCAATCGTCTGCCGCCGTACTCGTCTTCGCGATGTCCCGGTTGAAGCACCACCGGCGCAAGGCATGGTTCATGAACTCCTTGCCCCTGTCGCTATGCAATCGCGCCACTGGAAAACCTTGGCGCTTCAGTTCCAGATACATCGTCTGTATGGCGTCCAAAACTTCTTTGCCTCCTTTCGTCGAGAGAGGCACTGCCAGCGTGTGGATTTCAATCCTCTCTCTTCTCCTCATCCTCTTCGTACTCGTCCAGGTCGCCTTCTTCCATCTCTCCATCTTCCTGTTCTCCGACCAGATCCCTTCTGGGGGTTCTGGATCAGCCGGATCATGAGGGTCTCCTTCTTCCTTCTCTTCTTCTTGAGGCTCTTCCTCCTCCGGGCCCTCTAGCTGGAAGATCGTCCGCCCAGCCCATCGGCTCTCGTCCTCAAAGACCTTTTCCGTCTTTTCGGCATTCTTCCAGTCGTCCATGAACATCTTCAGCGGACCATCTTTAGTTGTCCGTGCTACGGTCCTCCTCCGTCCCCGCAGTCGCTCCACAGGCGCCGGACATCCTGGGGCATCGTCAGGGAAGAACCTTACCTTCCGGTGGCTCTTGTGCACCCTGATCACGTACTTGCCGTTGGC